GCAGGTAAATAGACTGGACCACTTCAGCTTCCTGGAAATTTAGACCTCAGCTGAAGCTTCCTCAGCTGAAGCGTGGTGGATGTAGTCATTGATGAAGCGCAGATGCTTGGACACCTGGGTGTAGACGCCAGGGCGGCCTGAGAGAGCACAACCGTTAGGACTCCCATAACTCATGATGCCAACCTGCACGAAACCACTGCCTGCACGACAGACCAGTGGGCCGCCGTAATCCCCCTGTGGAGCCCAAAAAAACAACTTCACTTGTTGAGTTGACAGACAGCAGTTGCTTTATATTTCTTATAAATGTATATATATTAATATAAGATTATAATAAGGTTTTTTACATAAAATCTTAAACTATTAAGTAACAAAAACTACAGCTGTCAGATAAATGTAGCAACGTGAAAACTATTGTTTGCCTGTGAAATAATTTCCCTCTGAAAACCTATACTTTAAGATACTCTCCCTGATTGTTGAAATGCATACTATTGATTAATAATGTTATGAAATCATTTTGACTGAAATATTAAAATACTCTACTTCGCAGGCGTCCTTCCCTCCGTCTTTGTCCCCAGCACACAGCATGTCAGAGTTCAGCTCAGGATACTGTGTCTTGCACACACTGTTAGGGACGATGGGAATCTTCAGCTCCTGAAGGACTTCTGGATCCTGCAGAGGAACTGCAGTGACACACACGGACACACAAGTGCAGAGGAGGTGATATTATATAGGTATTCATGCTACCAAATCCTCTCGTAATTATGTGACAAATTATGGTAATTTACCTTTTTTATGGACAAAACACACCAGTGAACTGATCAACTATTATTTAAAGAATGTTTTATATCTTGTAGGGGATCAAAAGAATTTGAACCAAATCCAAACAAAAACCAAAGTGTAAAGATTTCAGGTAGTTAGCAATAGTCCAACACATGACCCCCATAAATCCAAAACTCGCTGATGTGTTCATTTGTCCCTTTATAGTATCTTATAGGCTACGTCATGTGTACAGCTTACCACCAGTCTTAATGTTCCCCCAGCCAGTGATCCAACACTCCGACGATGGGCCAAAGGTGTCGTCGACACTGGGTAGAGTCACTGGGCGAACGCTGTCTGAGAATGTCAGCTTCTTCTTCAGCTTGACCAGAGCAATGTCATTGACAAAGCCATTGCCCACAGCTCGGTATTTAGGTTCAGGAATGATAGCATATATACCCAGGTAACGGGCAGACCCCTTTTGCAGGCTGTGTGTGCCGACCCAAGCCATTGATCGAGCCAAATTAGGCTTGTCTGGTCTGTCAACACAAAAGACGTATTAGTTTTTCTGCATTAATGGATGAACCCTCCATTAAGTGTAAAAACCCAACGCACATACACTACACAAAAGTATTCTTACATGAATATAGGTATATTTATATAATTTAGAAAAACACACTTACCTATTCCAGCACCTTGCAGCGGTCAGCACCCACTGACTGTTGAGGATGGTGCCGCCGCAGCGCCAATTTTTCTTGTTTTCAGATGTGATGTTTAGGTGGACCATCCATGGCCAGCCGCCTTTTGGAGCATCGTGCCCCCCAACAATGGAGCTCCTCACCTCAGCTCCATGCAAACCTAAAAAAGCAATAATGAAACTTTATAAAAGCTACTTTAAGGTAGAAGCACTGAAAATATGTATTACACCATTTTTTTTTAGCTTAGCATAAAGAAGGGGAAAAATAAGGGGAAATGGTTTTGCTAGGCTCTGCTCATCCATTCTTCCATTACCCATACTGCTTTTAGGGTCGTGGGTGGTGCTGGAACCAATCCCAGCTGACACTGGGTGAGGGCAGGGTACACTCTTTTGCATGCCACCAGTCTATCACAGAGCTGACACATAGAGATAAATAACCATTCATGCTCACATTCACATACTATGGGAACTTTAGAATGCCAATTAACCTAACGAACATGTTTTTGGATTATGGGAGGAAGCCAGAGGAAACCCACACAGGCACAGGGAGAACATGCAAACACACAGAAAGTCCCTTCTCGCTGTGAGGCAACGATGCTAATCATTGCAGCACCGTGCCACCCTGGCTCTGTTGTGAGGTAATACAAATCCACCATTGACTACCCAAGGGTAAAAAGGCATTGCACACACACAGAGCTTCAGGACAAAGTTGACTAATCTCAATTTCACCACTTTATTCATGTCAACAAGCATACCAATGTTTCAGTTTAGTGGCCTCCATCAGAGCATGGAGCAAAATGGAAGTCATTTTATTTATATACAATATAAATCTTTTCAACATCATTCAATCATCTCTAAACTACAAGATGGAAACATTCATACCTCAGGTTACAAGACGCCCATGGAATGCAATACCCTCCTCCATTATAACAGCAACCACCCAAACCATTTAAAACAAAAATATATGGAAGGGACGACTCAGGAGAAGTTACTCAGAACTGGTTGAATTCAAATGCAGAGCAGATTAGATGAAATCAAGATTCTATTAAAGGAATTACCACCCATCCATAATATACAAAGCCAAGAATAACCTTCACAACTGAATCCAATCACTGACTTCAGTAACATCAGGGCATAATCAACAGACACATCCTAAATGCAGATTCACCAATACGAGGTCACGAAAAGACGCCCCCCCCCCCCCCCCCCCCCCCATTCATTCCAACAAGCACCGACAATCAGAGGCAACCTTCTATATTCTCTTTAACCTTACCAAACCTAATCATACTAGGCTTCATCTAAAAGGAAAACTTAAGATGCAAAAAGTGCAGTCATTTTAACAAGACTACTTTTTTTTTCATCCATACACACACGGTCAAGAAGTTTCCTATCAAACAAATCATAAACTGAAACACAAAATCAGTCATGCTTACATGCCCCTGTGGACAAGCATATGTTTCACAAACAAATAGAGCACTCAACCTCTCATTCGCTCAGGGAACATGGAATAAGCTACAGCAAAGCGCTGTATTGTACAGTAATGGTCTCTCTCTCACCTCCCAACACTCATATTTGAGTCTAATTCATTTGCAAAAAACAAAACAAAAAAACACACAATACACAAAGTTAAAGATGCATTATCATTATTATAATTCTCAATTTCTAATAGATGGAGTGATAATATTTTTTATCCTGAATTCTTTTGGCCATGATAATCGTTTAGTGAAAATCTGATCATTTCAAGTAATAAAATCCACCCACCTAAAAATTATACTGCTTATGCAATTGTAACAATCATTTGTGATCTTTACGGTGGATTGTGTTGCCTTTGGACAGAGCCAGACTAACTGTTTCCCCCTGTTTCCAGTCTTTATGCTAAGTTATGCTGCTGGCTGTAGCTTCATATTTAACAGGCAGATGTATGAGGTGAATTGATCTTCTCATCTCACCATTTGTAATTGGAATTTGTAATGCCATTTGTACAGAGACCTAACTAAGCTGTCAGGTCATCACCATCAGTCAAACAACTACCAACATCAGAAAAATGATTAATAATAACAGTAATTTCAAATAATTTATATCATTCTATCAACAAATTATATCCTATTAGTATGAATTCAAATGAGTAGAAAAGTAAATTAAACCAAGATTAACCTTTACAAAGTGAATACAGATGAATCAGCACACAATAATGATCTCATGTGTTTGTCTTTCTCACCTCCAGTGATGTGGACCAGTACCAGCACAGTGAGAAGTTTGCAGAAGGCCATGGCTGTGACGGAGTGAAGCAGTGGCTCTGCAGAATATGAGGGTGCAGCTGCAGCTTTATATACACAGCTGGAGAGATTTAATCCTTATCAGCACTATCAGTCTTCCTTTCTGCTCAAACCACCCAAAGGACATTTACTCAAGTATTTTGAAGTGAAATATTATGGTACTGGTACTTTGAGTATTTGTAATTTATAAGACTAAATATTTGTGCTCCTTAACATATCATAGGGAAATATTGTACTTTTAACATTACATTCATCTTACAGTTGTAGGACTTTGATTATGATATGCAGAACATGCTATTAACTCTTTAAATACGATGCACCGTCAGAGTTTAAACTAAATTAGAATATCAATATTCTGGTCCAAAGTAACAGCAGAATTCTCAATTTTACTAATTTCAAAAGACAGCTTTTGAAACCATCAACCACCAAGCACAATTATGATTCAAACATAATTGTGCTTGGTGGTAAGTTTTTTTTGTTATGAAAATAGTTTAGTGCAAATAGTTTTAATATAAAGTTACCAGTATGAATTATAAGAACATCACCCTGACCAAATATTGGCGCCTCCCACCTGTCCAGACCCCAATAATAATAATACATGAAATTATCATTTGTATTACTATCATTGTATGTTAATATTTTGTCTATCTGCAACTCTATTTTCCTGAGGTCCTATGTATTGTTGCATAACAATTAATGGGCAGTATATAAACACACAATAAATAAATAAATAGTTTATGACATGCTATAATGTGGATATAAGACAATATAAGACCCTCTCAAAACTTTTATAAGTGGATTTGTCAACAATTATAACTCCTTATAAGAAGCTCCTTTAACAATGTATAAACAATTGATGATAACACAGTGTTATTTATCTGTATATTACACACACCAACAAATTCTTACAGTGTGTTATAAAACATTTATTAACTGTACAAATCCGTCAGTGGTGGGTTTAAATCACGTTTATAAATGTTTTTGAAACTCATGCATACATGTAATTATATATAATAACAGCTACTTTACATTATGTTATCGAGTATTTTAACACGTATGGAAATACTTTAGAAATACCAAGTGTTTATATACTTCTGATAAATATTAAATATGTTAAAAAAAAAAAAGAAAAAAAAAAGCCACAACTACATCCATGACCGAAGGTACCTTTGACCACAGCTAACTGGGTCTGAGTTTTTTTCTAGCTAGCTGCTAATACTTATATGTAAATCTTGTATTTTTTTATATGACAAAACACTTTTTATCAGCATAAACGTGAAAGGTTCCCACTTTGTAACCTAAATAGCTTCACCGAACGGGAACCTCAAGGTTGTCTTTGTTTCCAAGGGACTTTATTTGTAAGGAACACAGTGTTCCGTGTCGTAAGTTTGCAAAATAGGTAAGTAACACAAGCTAAATCCATCCAAAACACAGCTCGTTCTTTGTGTTAAATGATTTGCCGTCTGTTTTTGTTGGAGCCAATGGAGCTGTTTAGCAGCTAATGTACGATGTCTGGGTTGTTGTAGCAGTTTTAGCTGTTTTTAGCCCGGTTTTTAGCGGTTTTATTTAGTTTAGCCTGGGCTCATTTGCAAACATGGAGCAGACTGCCAGCGTCAACGCAGATCCTGGCCATCGCTCAGTCACTAATGGTAGGTCTGTCATCTGTCAGTAATTTCAAAGAAACATGAAATTACAAATATTGTTACGTGAATCGCGAAAAATCTTGTTTATCTTCTTTTTATAGGTCGTTGCTCTCAGTGGCGCAACTGGACTGGATTTTGGTGAGTGTTCAAAACCGAAATCTTTTTTTCAAAACCACTGAGGAAGAAGCAGAACTACAACACGTCAAATAGCCTTTGAAAGTGTAACATAAAAGGGGAGAAATGGCACTGGGAATCCTCGTAATATATATTAAGTATGAGAAATCCTGAATGTGAAATTAAAGTTCAAACTGATGAAGCCCACAGCTTCCTCATAGTGTTGCCTTACTATTGGCAGTATGTCTACTTTAATGTTGATTAAACAGCCTGTGAATGTGACACATTGACATAACTCAGCTTTAGACTAGTTCATCTCTCTGAATTTCTTGATCCAAATACTGATGGTCATGGCTTTAAAATAGTCTAAAAAAAGTATATAAGATGAAATTATTGATATGATATGAATGAAAGTTCATTTGATCCAGAAGACGTCTCACTATTGGATTTGTTGGACCTAAAGAAACACTTTGTGGTTTTACAGTAGTGTTACAGAGTTGCACATCTTCCCTCACAAATTATCTTTGACCAAAGTGTGCTTTTAAGTCAGAATGTGGAGACAACATGGACGCTAAAAAGAAGTTGCTGTATTTTATTGCTGAGAGTGTTAAAACAACTGGTTGGTGGCTGTTTCCAGTATTTGTAACTTATCATCTGCTAATAAATAGCTTTTCTAAATGATCTAGGTCACTATGTAGACAGAAACTAATTGTTACAGTGTTATTCCATATTACAAATTAAATGTTTGAATTTAAGATTCAAACATTTAATTTGTAATATGGAATAACACTGCAATCAGAAAAAATATGAACTGCCAGCATATTTTGCCACTTATTTTTTGTGAATTAGTGCATACAGGGAAAATATGAGTGGAATTAGATTTGCAGTTAGATTCTAGTGTCCTCTTGTTGGGTATCAAACATCAATACATTCTGAGTTCCAACAAGTGGTCAATCGATGTGAGTTTTTCAGTAGTTGATGCCAGTATTATATAAGAGCAGGGTGGCTGTTATTATGTTTTGTTTTTTTGTTTTGCATCAGATAACATACAGCAATTCAATAATAATAACAAATAGACACAAAATTGTTAAATGAACACTCATTTAACACTAATGTTATTATTAGATTAGATTTGCTATCATTCAGGATGAGAGAAACATTTAGAAACATTTAGAAAAGTACAGAGTTAGTACAGGACTCGCCACTAACTTTTTCACCACCTTCCCAAAACTGTCTTAAAGCATATTTTTTATGTTTGTTGACAGACTTGGTGACGAGCCAAATCACCAATCCAAGCAATCCAAATCAAATGTTTGATTTAGATCTGCAGTTGTTTTGGGGTTTTCACAAAGAGAAACCTCTCAGTCTGTGGTATTGAGTTATTGATGCATCTGCTTACTCTATATTATTTGTCCCTTTTTTGATGACCTTTTCAGGTTCCTTGGATTGTGCAACAACTTTGCCTATGTGGTAATGCTGAGCGCTGCCCATGACATCCTCAAAAAACAAGAGTCAGAAAATGCCACAGCACCTGTAAGAAGGCAATTTTTTTTTTTTTTTTCATCAGTGATTGTTATTTCTAAGAGTTTTATGCTATAAAGTCTATTAATACATATAAAGCTATAAAGCAAATTATTCACTTTTCACCTATTTTTTCTTGTAATTCTAGACACCACCCACAGTGGCTGTGGATTTCCAAGGCAGGAACAGTAGCAACAGTAGCCGCTATGACTGCAATCCTGTCTCTACTGCGGTAAATGGAGATTCATAACACAATGCTGAATAACCCCGATCAGTCTGTATGTTGACAAAGGAATCAATAGTATCTCATGGTGAGGTTTTGTGAAAGACGAGACAACAGAGATATTATGCAGTGTTTCCTCAGCTGTCATTTAACATTGGTAAAACATTTTATTACTAAACAGGTACTGAAACTAAATTGGTAATAAATGTAGAAATAAAAGTACAAGAAAGGAAATTTCCCGCAGCTCTCAGTGCTGCAGAATCCCACGGTGTTGTGAGGTGAAATGCTGTTTTTGTAAAGTGCTTACATTTACACTAAAAGACACAAACCAAGCAGCGTTCACTATACAGACTGAATTAGTTTGAACTCTAAATGAGAGTTTTCATTCTTCTCTTCTCAGGCTGTCCTGTTAGCTGACATCCTCCCAACGCTTGTCATCAAGCTGTTTGCTCCTTTTGTAATCCACAACCTGCCTTATGGGTAAGACCATGATTATTACTTCTACCATTTGATTTAAATCATGGCCTTAAGGCAGCAGAGTTTTTTCACTCAAGCTGAGTATTTATAGGAACTAACGCTGATTATTTGAATGGGAATAACTAATGTCAATGCACTGCTAATTATTCGAGTGTTGGTTTTTCTCGCCGTGCTAGTGGCTATACCCGAGAAATGACTTCATTCATTCATCGACTAATAGTTTCCATTTGTTTCCACTTTGCTGTTGTTTGTATCACTGTTAAGCTGCCATCAGGTAACTCAACACTTCCTCTATACTAGTGGCCCCGATGTTTGTGTCTTCCAGTTTCTTTATAGGCTTTTACTTTGAAAAATGTGCAGGAAGTGTTGAGTTTTAATGGATTTGCAACATGAAGCCACTTTCTAGCTCTGTTAGTGGCCTCTATTTGTCAATGCTGGACAATTGTCCATTTTTTTAATAGCAGCTGTTTTTTTATTTCTATTTACAGTGCACACAGACTAGTTGACTGTTAGAAATGTCACTGCATGTGGCTTATATACAGTGCAGTCTGTAAATACTTAGACAGTGACTTTTTAACAGGGCAAAATAAATATTGTTGTACCAATATAAGAGGGAGGCTGGGGACAGCTGCAACCAGAAACATGCTTGAGTGATGACACTCATACTGCACATGCTCAGTCAGACTCCCCCTCCCCCCTAGTAGAAGACAATAAATGCTGCTGCATTGATTGAAAAATTGTTTTAAATGTGTGAAAGTAATTTTTTAGCTATATTCCTGTCCAAATGTTCTGACATTTTTATGAATTAATCAAAACCTACTTAGTTTGAATCATTGTTTTCTTGGCTTCTTAGTGACACGGTGAGCACGTGTCGAGGTCTGTGTGTCTGGGACAAGTTATTGTATCCGTCCCCAAGCTAAGCAGCCAGATCAAGACAGACCACGCAACAATGTGCAGCTAATTTTGTCCCATAGCACATGTTGGAGCCATATTAAGAGTTTTGGAGTAATACAAGAAACATCTGTAGATCTGTGGATGCAGTATTTTAAACTTGATTTTGAATTATATTAATTTGACTTATGAAATACTAATATTAGTTTGAGTAAGCTGGCCATAAAGGCCCTTAAGCAAAATGTGGATGATGTGTGTGACCTGTGTAGGTGCTGATTACCTGACATGTTCCCGCTGTGTATCCTCTGCTCTGGCAGCCTTTAAGTAGGTTTTTGGATTTGGAGAACAAAAGTTTTGTGACCGAGCTCGTGATTAATCACATCAAAATCCTGTTTTGATCGTTATTTTCTTTTGGAAAGTCAACCGGAGTGTATTATGTAATAAAATCCCATTTCAGTTATTGAAATTATTATACATCCGTGCGTGCTTTATAAGTGTGTGTGTCAGTTGCTTCACCTGAACTCCAGTGGTTAAAGATAATTAGCTCATTTAAACGTATAAAAGAATACAAACAAACAGAGAATAATAATAAAAAAGTTATTTTGTTAGCCTTCGTGGTCTTATCATTTTTTTGCCTGTTCTGTTTATCTTAAGTAATGAAATAAATAAATTGTGCCTATTATGACTCAAGGTAGGTTGTATGTAAAACAAAACTCAATAAGTGTTCTTTGGTATATTCTTAGGGGCTCCATATTGATACATATTACTAAATAACATGAATAACATTGCATATTTTCATAATACTGAGCATATTGAGACGAACAGCAAAACTTGTTCAGTCAAAGGGAAATTTAAAGTATTTTTAAAATGTGTTATGCAACCATCCCTGACCTCTGGCCCTAGGGTTGGGGTCAGTTGAAACATCTGAATTCTTCCATTCAAATAAATATTGTGAATGATATGTCATATGTATATATGATGTAAGTTTGGTTGGTCTAGTCTAAACAGTCTCTGACTTACTGTGCAGTGCTGCAACCGTCCCCAGTCCCCCCTAAACATGGTTATTTAATGTTTTTGTTCTACCTGCACATTTTGTTCACAAATGTCTGTTTTTAATTCTAGTGTCAGAGTGTTGTTCTGTGTCATCGTGGCAGCTACAAGTTTCCTCCTTGTGTCCTTATCGACTGCCGTCTGGATCAGCATTCTAGGTAAAAAGTCACCATTTTTGTTTTACAGAGCAATCATTAGTTTCAGTTCTAGCTTTTATCTCAATTAGTGGTGGAACTCAAGAACTCAGATGACAGATTAGCTGCAGCATAAAAAATCTTTAGCCGCGATTAAATTTTCTGCTGTCTTATCTGGATGACAGCAGCTGCGGCGGTTCCACAGAAACGTGATACTATTTTAGTCTTATCATGACCTGCTGCTAGAAATATTCATCGCCGTGCTTTATCACCTGATCAGTAAAATATGTTCAAATTCATGTATTTACATTTGAGCTGTCAAGCGATGTAGAAAATGAATCTAATTTATTACATGCATTTTGATTAATTAATCTAAATTAGTCGACGATATCGGAGAGGCATGTAAAAAGATTTCAATTCAAATGGATTTTGGTAAAAGAGTAAATGAATTATTAGACATTATAAACTAAAGGTCAGCATCTCTTTTATTTCATTTTTTCCCCACTGTTCCTATGCAACAATGTCCATAAAAATGACCCAATGAAGAAATAAAAATCTGAAATATGTCAGCAAGAACAAGTTTCTCATTTTATCCATGACATTGTGATGAATGTTAATGCGTCTTATTTTAGATGCCAAAAAAAAAACCAAAGCTAAAATTAGGCCACTATAGACCAAGAGTAATATATAGTGGAGTTTATGACAGATGTTTGTGGGCCGGGGCAGACAGCTGTAGATGGGTCGCTGCATGACTTAACCACCGGTGCAGTGGGCAATCCTCCATGCTGATACTGGGCTCTGCTTAATAGAGGCTCTGAGCCCTGTTACTTCTGAATCTGGAGCCTGAAACCAACAGGTGGGGGCTCCTCTTCTTCTTTGCTGGCTCCTCAAAAGGCCCTGGAGTGGCTCGGCAGGCCATTGCAATCCATTTACCTATTGAGCCGGTTAATCTGTCACAGATAGACTTACTCAGTCTGTGTCTGAACTCGCTCAAAGCTCTGTGCTAAGCGTTTTGCATTGAGATGATATCTCAGGCTTGAACTACTCCACTCCTGTGGTGAGGTTTTAACATAAGCCCTAGATAGGTTTCTTGACTCACCTGCACATCCACTTGATAAACAAACAATATACAATGCAATTGTAATGTTTTATGTGTGTGAATATATAAATCAAATCAAATAGTATGAAAATTCCTTACTGAAGGAATTACACAGAACCGTGCTCCTATCAACATTTCCATCGGGGTGTTTATTGAATTTAAAAAATTCAGATTTTCTATTCACTGAGCCAAGCATCATGTTTAAAAAGCTTATGTGGACGGATGTATTCATGTTCAAATTGTGCTATATGCAGTGAAGTATGGGGTCAAAGGGCATCAAAGTGTGATTAAAATGCGTAGATTTTTTTAGACATGTCTTTTTTCTATAAGTATTAATAGAAATTAATACATTATTATGCCAAACCTAATTTACATATATTTTTGTTTGATACTCAACAGTATTTATCAAAAGAGTCTAATTAGATGTAACGAAGCATTCACTTACAGACAGAATGTTTTATTGCATCATGCATGACATAAGGCGACTTGATGCTGAGGTCCATCAGAGGTCAGAGTCCAGTTAGCCAGTCCACACTGATGACATGGACCCTGCAGGTCCCAGTGATTCAACAGCAGCACAAATTGCATCCTCCAAAATTATAATCCATTTGAATCACCTCTTTTTTTTTAATTCTCTTTTTTTTTTTTTTTTTATTGTGTTACTTCATGATCCATTCAAACAGTGTGATGGCTTATTGGTTTTTTCCATCCAAGGATAAGACTCAGTTGGAACCAAAAATAATGAATCTGATTTAAAATAGATATTACAGACGCAATTGAGGACCAATGAAGAAAATCAAACCATTGGCATAAAATCATAATGATAATAATGAATAAAATAGAGAACAGAAAAATCAAACCAATCCAAATAGAAAACAAAAAGTTGAGGTGTACCTGCGTGATACTCAAATCCCTTCATAAAAAGGTGGCTATGAGAAAAAGACATAAACAAATGACATTATATCATTATATATACATTTATTAAATACACAGAATCACACAAGAATAACTGCCCTGAGATCATTCATTTTCTGTTCTTCATGAACATTTTAAAAGCATCTCTGTCTGTCCTTACTTCACTCACTCAGATTGTCTCGGTCTCTGTTTGCAGGAGTGATCTTTGCCAGTATCAGCGCTGGACTGGGAGAACTGTCCTTCCTCTCTCTCACTGTCTTCTTCACCAGGTAAACACTTTTTCCATTGTTCCCACTTAACAAAATGACAGAATGTGGAGCTGCACCTAAAGTGTAACATATAGTCTGTGAATAGAAAAGGGCTCCAACAGCGGGACATTACACAACACTTTTCACACCTTCAAGTTTTGACTTCATGTCCTGCCATCCAGGAAAAGTTTTGTTATTGCTCTGTGATGCGTTTGTGTACATCTGCCTGGAAAGGAAAAAATAGGCCAATAGTTTGAATGACAGAAAGTAAAAGGTTTAGTCAGTTTGACTCGGTATCTCACAATTATGACTTACTATCTTCAGATTTTGACTTAACGTAAGGGTTTTTATTTTTATCCTTTCTGACTTTTTATCCATTTCTTTCTTTCTGTGTCTGAAGTAAGATGAATAATAATGATAACTTGTATTTATACAGCATTTTTCTTACCAAAGTTACTAAGTGCTTCACAGAAAAATCAAGCCAGATAAAAGAGAAGGTCAAATGGGCTTCCATAGTCCGGGAGCAGGGGCTGTTTTCCTTATTGGGAATTTTGAGAAGAAAATCTAACATCCTTGATTTCAGAATTGTGCCAGTAAATGTTTGTCTCCCTTGACTCTGAAATTCCTGATATTAGAGCTTGAATGCATCTTCAAGGAAGGGGCTCCTTGCAACCGCAATGCTACTTCACAGTAAATGATTCTATCTGAAACAAACTTCAATTCCTGGAAAATAATTTTATTATCTCTGTGTCATTACCATGAGCCACAATTAGAAAAAATTAGCAATGATATCAAGCAGCAGCAGCAGCAGCTGATGATCTAACAAACCATGTGTGTGTGTTTCTCATGTTTTTGTAATTGCTGGTTATTGAATATAGAATGATTTGTCTTCCGACAATATGTAGTTTAGATTGTGACCAGTGGTTTTGTGCCTGTCTCAGGGATGTACTGGGAGGTTGGGGCTCGGGTACTGGTGGTGCTGGTGTTGCTGGAGCCTTCCTCTACTCAGGCTTCACCCAGATTGGCCTGTCACCCCAGATCACACTTCTCATCATGCTGGTGGTCCCATTCGCCATGTTGATTAGGTAAGAATGTCATTGGTTGTCATTTACAATGTATTTCAGGTGAGGTGGCCCACCTCTTCTTATATAAAGGCAACCCTTACGAGCATCAGGAAAAATGTATAATGGTTTTTGAAAATGAAGCATTAACCCTCAGGGGAAAAGAGCAGAGGTGTTGTTTCACACTGTAAATGCCAATTAAATGGCATTTGCACTGTGGAATATGACTGTAGTTTAGGCCGTCTCCAGCTAACTAAATGAGTGAAGAGATAAGATGCATCAGGATCTGGACGGCTGACATCTTCTGCTTCTGCCTTTGCCAGCAGTTTCTTGGGGGGGGGGGGAATCCTGGAGAATAATAACCGTGTGTTTAGGATGGATGTTATGGATTTACATTTAAAAATATATTTACTGACTCTGCAAAAGATTAAATCAACCATCACATGCATTTAAAATGAATTATAAATAGGTTGTATAGCAGACAGTGGTTTAACATGCTGGTAATTTTTCCCTTCCATATATTTACCTATTCTCAGTTCAACCAGGCTGAAACCGGCTCCGTGAAGCCCTAGTGTTAGGCACAGTGGTGCTTAGAGCTAAATGCTTAGCATGCTAACATGTTTTGGGGTTTAAAAAGAAGATATAAACATGTGAGCAAACTGTTAACTAAACATACAACTGTTTTATTAGTTCAGCAGCTGTGCAGGAACACGTTACTCAGCCTGAAGCACATTTCCCATGATGCCCCACATATTTTAACCTGGTTCATAGTAGCCCATAATACATAAAGCTTCCTATTGTCAACATGTTGTGCACCAAGATACAATAATAACACGACCGCACAGTGACAATGCTAACATGCGGATTTTTTGAATAATGTTCTATATCTTCTTCACCATCTTAGTTTAGCAAGTTAGCACAAAACACAAAGTACAGCTGAGACTGATGGGCACGTCATTAGAAACCAAAGTATTTGACCTGATGGTGGTGCTAGATATAATATGATATATTATAATATATTATGTGTGATGCTGATGTTTTCTGTTCACCTTTCAGTCATAGATCTGCTCTTTTTTTCTTATATCATTAGTTGCTTACTCATAACATTAGTGAGATTTTGTGTCCTGGTTTTTATTTCTTTGCTTACACCAACATGTTGACCTTCTCCTTGTCTCACCATCCACCACCAGCTATTTCATCCTGCTGGTTCCTCCACCTTCATTACCTCAGTGGAGAAGCAGGGCGATGGAGTATACAGCTGTGGGCTCAGAGGAGAGACAGCGGCTGGTGGATGATTCAGATCAAGAGCAGCAGGAGAAATCAACCCCAAGTATATGTCACAAACTCTCATCACAAATCATAAATAAGTATAAGTAAAAATATTTTTACATCAGAAAATCCAGTGAAAGCAGGACTTTCTGAACTGCACTCAGTTATTTTGTTGGTTGGTGAGTAGACTAATCTAACACCAAGGTTTTATATTAACTGCAACTGTGTAGTAAATTTATTTGAAAGGCCTTAATCAAAGTTTTTCCATTTAAACGTGGGTGAGAGAAGTTTAGTTTTAATATTGCTTTTCAGTGGTTAAAGGGAGATTTTGCTTAATAACAGAAAACATGATGAGATGTGAGGTCAGATGACCTCCGTGGCTCCAGCTGTTTTATCTTGGTTTGGTCGGAGGATGTTGTGAGTCATTCAGATATACACTCAGTCACTTCTCAGTTTATCAGGACACCCAGCTAAAACTAATGCAGTCTATTTCAACAGTCATGCAATCAATCCCACCTTCATGACAGTTATAATGTTCAGTTTTTTTGCAGCTGTTTTAGAGACATGTTGGAGGCTGCAGTTTGTGGTGCTGCTGAATTGTATAAGGTGTCTCTGTTATTTTGTCCATCCACCATTTTCTATTCATAGGCTCTTATTAGCCGTCCTGTCCTGGTAGATAAAATCACTTGAGTTAATCTTATATTAGCCTTATTTCTCTCTAGTCAAACTAACTTTTGGCCACAACCTGTCTGAGTTGGGGACTAGAAGCTTCTCTGCACGGCTGCCTAGCTAATGTCTACCTGATAGTCTGCATGTGAGGTGTTCAGGGAATCAGTAAATTATAGCTACAGAAAATGCCCTGGGTTACAATCTCACCACCATCATCAAAATAACAAATGAGGGAAGATCTTTTGGAGGAATGGTGTTCATCCCTCCAGTAGAGTCCCTGAGACTTATAGAGTCAAAGCCATGGAGCACTGAAGCTGCTCTGGCTGCACGCGGTAGAACAACATCTTACTAAGACACTGGACCTGGACCATGTCTTGCATCCGGAGCAAAGGGTGTCTTTGTTAATCTCAAACCGACGCAGTTTCCATTTTCACGCTCAGCACACACGTTGTTCAAATAGCAAATATACTTGCGCCCATCTGAGCCGCACTATCGAGATAGTAACATGTCTACATAGGTGGGTGCACAATACACTGAACTGCACACTGAGATCTGTTTCCAGAGAAACGTACTTTCTTACTATTTGACAAATCCTCCGTTATGATAGCGATCCCCTAGGAGCGAGCACACCTGGCTTTTAAAGGAAATGGGAGATGGCACCCTAGTTGGTTCATTGCACGTTGGAAGTTCCCATACACTCCATAAGACAGTGGGTTCTAACTTTTCTTGTTATCAACGGCTCGTATAAATGGGGTTGAAGAGGTGAATGTGAATATGTGGCTCTCAGCCGCTGACGCAATAAAAGGCCTATTGTGATTTCTGTATTTTTCACGATCTCTTTCCTGCTCCTTACTTGACCCACATCAAATCCATCATCCTTGGCCATCTAATAGATCCATATAAACCGTTTCACAGGTCCGGATGACGTTTTATGGTGTTACACTTTGTTCACCGGCTGACAGCCAATGGTTGTACATCATTATATTTATGTCAATTTTTGTTCAAATGGAAAATAAAAACAATTAATTTCATTAATTTGATAACAAACAAACAAAAAAATAGAGCCCCACATGTTAATTTTTCCTTTAATTGGTCACCGGTCTGTACATGGACGGTGAAGTGACCAGACAACCAGAGAACACTTCTCTTTTACAAATGAAGGTGAACCTGCTGTTTCTGAATTAGTGTGTCTATATGACACACTCCACAATGAAGCCACACATCTGTCATTTTGAATTTAAAGGAGGCAGCTGATTGTCCACTCTCACAGCACTGCACTGTTTCTCTGAAAGTGTCATTTTAAAGTCATGCTGTTGAATAACTACAGACCATGTTTTCTTCCCCCTGATTGTAGCAGATGACAGGAGCACCGGACCTCTCACCATCACAGAGAAACTGCATGTCATCAGAGTAAGTTTACTCTTTATTGAATGTCAGACCTGAGTATTTGAGTATTTGTGTGGTTACATGATTATTCCTCTTGATTCCTGGGAGCAGGGTTTGCTGAAGTTCGTGTTTCCCCTGGGGCTGGTTTACTTTGCAGAGTACTTCATCAACCAGGGCTTGGTACGTTCTGTGGTGCCATCTGCCATCATATTGATCTTACTGCATGTTGTCAAAACCTCCTTCTGCTTTAGGCTGTCTGGAGATGTGATGTATAATTTTCATGTATTGGGAGCCCATTTAAAACATTTAAAAACACTGCAGGTGATAATATAATAATGCAAATGTTTCCTTCTCCAGATGGAGCTCCTGTATTTCCCAAACTTTTTCCTGTCCCACGCAGAGCAGTATCGCTGGTCAGTTAACCTCACTGGATTAGTATTCTCAAGGAATTACTGTATTTAAATTGTCTAAGGATGTAGACTTGAGTTTGTTTATTATTTGTGTGTGTGCTCAGGTACCAGACACTGTACCAGGTAGGTGTGTTGGTGTCTCGATCCTCCCTGTGCTGTGTGAAGATCAGGAAACTGTGGGCTCTCTCTTTGCTACAGGTGAGAAATAGAGAAAGAGTTTTTTTTTTTTTTTAAACAATTATATTGTCAACAAAATGTGAAGCTGTCTGGATTACATTTTTGTAAAATGAGCATATTTGCAAAATGTTCAATGACAACATTTTTAGTTGGATATTCCTTTAATTCTGATCATGTATAAAGCATAATCTAGTTGCCAAGTTATATATAACCACTGAAAAACAGATGCTAACTGTGCAAAAAAAAGACTTAAAAAAAGGACTGTGTAAGCAGATAGTCAACTATCAGTCTATTATTATTATTATTATTGTTATTAGTCTTATTGTTATTATTACTAGGTTAAGAAGGGTATGTTAAAGCACTTGAAAGTGGAAAACAATTTCCTAGTGTCTAGCAGAGCTGATCTTGTCATGGAAAAATGCTGTTTTTGCGGCAGTTAAACTGATCTACACCATTTATGTTATTGTTAACATCTTAATTATTTCTGCTGAATTTGTCACCATTATTTATGTTTATACGTATTGCAAATCAGTTAGTACTGCAGGCTAATTTTTTGTATTTGCATTTTGTATTTCCATTTTATTTCGTTGCTACAGAATCATTCACATCTTTCCTCATCACCACCACCACCACAAGTTATCAATAAAAAGCCAGAACAGTTATCAGAGTATTCAGTGGCCCTGTTCAGACCTGGTATTAACATCTGTCTCAGGTGATCCGATCACAAGTGAATGGTGTGAACGCACCCAAGATTCATTGAGGAAACATTTGAGATCTGATCACTCAGACCACATTCAGAGGTGGTCTGGACCACATGTGTCCACATGCTTTTAACAGGGCCACACTGAAGGACCAACTACTGTACTGACATCCTCTGAAACAGTCTGATTAGTCCCAACACAGTTTATAATGTACAAAGAAAAATACCGGGTGCTCTGGGTTATGCCGTAATGAGTCTTCCAGGTGAATGCAAGGTGCTCTTGAAGTTGAAATGTAGACACAAGGACAGTAAAATGTCCAAAACAAAGATCCCAAAAAGGGAGTAAAACGCACACCGGTTTCAACCACTACAGGGTCTTCCTCAGGGCATGGTTGGAAAGGGGAAGTCTTACTCTGATATGCCCTAACAAAATGAAGGCATTTTAATTGTGTCCTTAGCTCTGTGCGAGTGTACCTGAAGTCAGCCCAGAAGCTTCATAATGAACTGAAAATATTTAACTATTTCAAATGGATAAAAACTCATTTCATTGTAGAGCTGTGAGCAGTGCATTGACTCACTCAACCCCTTGTTGCACCACTCAGGGAAGTGAGATCTTATCACAAGAGGGAGAGACACATTTTAAAGCCAAGTGTGAACTGACGTACGTAGAGCGGACCACTTGTGATCGGATCACCTGAGACGCATGTTAATACTAGGTCTGAACAGGGCCTTAATGTCAAGTATGTATCAGCTTTAAAACAGAATATTGATTCCTCAGCTGAAATAAAAACAGGTACAGTGATAACCCACAGCGATCAGTTCATACAGATATGCTTGAAATCTGTATTTCAAAGAAGAACTTCAAAGCTTCGTGATTTCAGATTATTTGCCAAAGAGCTGCATTTGATAAGGTGTCACATTCCTCGTGACCGCTGACCCATCTGTTTTTCAGTGCAGTCCGTCTTGTATGAAAGTGCTGATTGCCAGGTTCTCTGTTTCTCCATCTGCCCTCCTCTCTGACCTCCACAGGTGGTGAATGCGGTGTTGCTCCTATTTGCAGTACGTTACCAGTTCCTGCCCAGTGCCTGGCTGGTGTTTGTTATTGTCCTCTATGAGGGTCTGCTGGGTGGAGCTGCGTATGTCAACACCTTCTACTTCATCAGCAAAGAGGTCAGGTCAACGTTCTGTCGGATGGGTTGTTATTCTGTGTGTGAAAAGCAGCTGGACTGAACTGAAACTTTTCATGTAGCTCCATCATCAGATGAAAAATTCAGTTTGTCCAGTTCTTTGGTTTATGACAAAAACATTTACAAAACGAATGACATCACCTTCAGCCTCAGCAGTTGAGCTAATGTTAGTATGCTAACACTAAGACATTGAACATAGTAAATATTACCTGTTAAACATCAGCATGTTAGGATTGCCGTTGTGAACTTAATAACAGGATGCGTCAGCTTTTTTCACTCAAAGCATCTCTATCCAAAGTACAGAACAAAGTCTCACAGAGCTGCTTGTGTGGCTCTGACTAATATTTACAGTTGCTTCCATGTTGATGCTGTTTCGGTTGTTGTTAAGCTACTGAAGTTCCATACTTCCTACAGATGTTTCACATTTACTTCTAGTGATTCAAGGTGAAGGATTTCACCCTCGGCCTGGCTGAAAAACTTTTGGTTTGATACTATCAAGGATGGAAAAATGTTGTATAGTTCGATACCAAATTTTGATATCTAAGGAGTAAATGAGTAAATCTCATCAGCATCACTGAGCCAATCAGCATGCAGCATGCAGCATGCTCGGACCAAAATCTAATAATGCTGGTGATTGGCTGTTTTTTTTTTTTTTTTTTTTTTTTTTTTTACACAAACACATTTCAATCAATCAGACTTTATTTGTAAAGCACTTTTCATACAAATAATGCAATATAAAGTGCTTTACAGAATAAAAGCACACACACACACACACACACACACACACACACACAGACAGAACAATAAATAACCAAGTAATAAATAAAAACAATAGAAATAAGACAATAATAACAGGAAACCCTGAAGACTGGAAACCAAAGACAGTGATAGTGATAAAGATAAAATAATAAAATGCTAAAACCTGAGAGATGTGTTAAAGTGAGTAAAACCAGAAATAAAAAGTTGAATATTAAAAATAAGACAAAATAGTAAAGGTAAAATTACAAGAGGAGATGTTTGGAAGTGAGTAAAAACAGAAATAAAAGTAGAAATAGAATAAATAACCAGAAATAAAAGTAAGGTATTAAAAGGAAAACAATCCAGAAAGTAATCATACAATAAAATAAAGAACAAACCTGTAAAAAAAAAAATATATAAATAAATGGAAAGATAAAAAAAATTACTAATAAATACAATTAAATGAAAAGCCAGACTAAAAATGTTGGCAAAGCCAGACAAGTCTCTTTTTAAAAATATGCCTAAAAATAAAACTTATGTCAAACTAAAATTTGTATTTTAATTTTCTTATTGTTGAAATGGATTTGATAAACTTTGATTAAAAAGTATCATTAAGAATCAGTATCGAAGTCAAGGTATCTGTATCAGAACTAATACCCCGCCCTAGTATTGGTAATTCCTTGTTGCCCAAAATGTTTTGAACATGACATTTTTTATTATTATTTGAAACTAAGACATTATTTGAACACGCTTCTAATAAGGTTTTAATTACAGTACATCGCAATTCATCTGTTGTCTGCCTTCAGTTATGTTTAATTCTGTCCACACTTTACTTTAGGTTTGCTTGACTAAAAAGGATTTCTGCATGTATGTTAATGTAGCCTCTGATGAGCTGAATTATACAGTTAGTTAACAGTTTAACAGTTGGTTCCGACCAAGTAATTTGATTGGACGAGAGACATTCCATAAGTGCTGATATAGAGCACAACAGCACTGGGACTTTTAACTACGTGTATCACTCACTTCACAGGTGTTCTATTAACTGTTAATCAGCGTTACATTAACGGTGGTTTATTTGTCTTAAATTGTAACAAACTTTGCAAAGATGAAAATATTTCCAGAAGTAACATTTGAATCAAATGATGTATGACCATCAGAAGAGGATGAAGGGAAGAAGCCTGAATACTTCAGCGCACACTTGCGGTAACGTGTAGACAAAGTAACAAGCTAGTGTGCACTGTGCAGGTCAGGAAAATGTTTGTGTTGCTTAGCAACAGTCCAGTACCAGTCCAGTTGGGGAACTATTTGTATTGGAGTAGCCGAATAAATGATAAAATAAACAAACAAATCATAATTTGTTGTTGCTTATTTAACTAATATGGCGCTCATATAACTTTAACGTTGTCTTGGATACTCGGCCAAGTACCGAAGACAATCACAGCAGTGCTGATATTCAGTACGAGATCACAACCTTTCGTGTCATATTGCTTAATTAGCAGTGTGCTGCTAAGTTGAAGCTGTGTTGTTTCTCAGTTTACATTAAGTATCTGACGTCTCTCTTCTGTCCCACAGACTGAAGACAGACAGAGGGAGTTTGCCATGGCTGCTGCCAGTGTAGGAGACAGTCTGGGCATAGCTCTGGCTGGAGTCGCTGCTTTCTTTGTCCACAGATATTTCTGTTCGCTCTGACCCCGCCCACACACTGACCAGCAGGATGAATAAGAGAGACGTGGGTGTCTTCCATTTAAGGGATGTTTTTTGATCGGAAATGAAAAAAGCAGACTCTACTCCTACGTAACATTGACTCCACAAACTGTATTAAATGTGGATTCCTAATCACCATGAGTGAGCCAGAGAGATGAGGACTCACTTACCAGCTTGTCCTTTTCACCACCTCCCAATGATCAACCAATGCGGCTTTTTGAGGTACATGTTGAATCATCCTTTGAGTAGGTGTGATCACAGTGGTTTGCCATACAATAGGAAGCCAGGGTAAGGTCCCATATAATGCTCATTTTCAAGCTCATACTTTTATTTGGTACTACTAGAAAAGGTTTACACATGTTGGAGGTTTGCTGGTTTGCACAAACTGCACTGACAGCCTGTTTCACAGAAAAGCCTTATAGTGGCTCAATGGTGAAAAGATGTAATTAGGCAAAATGAAGAAATGTAGTATGAATCACACACATCTCAAAGAAACAAAACATATGACACAATCATAATATATTTAATATATATACATTATATATTTCAATAGTGTTTTCTGCACAAGCGTGTTTGTGAATGACAAGACACAGTGAAGCATCTCATTTTCAATAATTACACCTACTGTATCTTTATCTCGTCTTATACTTTAAATGCTTCCTGTAGCTGACAGCAACAACTAATTCTGAACTGACCAAACACCAGACTACAGCATAAAAACAATAGTTTTACTGATCTCACTTATCTTTTTTTTTTTCTTATAATAATGACGTATTCAAATTGACAAGTGTGTGTTAAACTTTCGCTGCCTTTCAGAGCTTCATTATATAAAATGACCCAAAGCAACTGAGACAAAACTGTTACAGTAAAATGGTTGGTGGTCAAGATGTGACAATATTACAAAATATGTGTGATGATAATTAGACATTTGAAATGTTTTGTGGTGACTGTGGTGGAGGTATGTGATCACAGTTATACCATTATTACATGTTGATTCTGGGACTAAACACATAATATGATATAATATAATATAATATAATATAATTGATATAATTAATATAATAATAATTGAAATAATATGTAATAATAATTCATTTGTAAAATTCCCCCAGGGGTTAGAGGCTCCGTTGTAAATGAAAATGTGAAAATGTTTTATGATGTCCTCTGTGCTCATAGAGCAAGGTTCAATCAGGTTATTGCTTAACTAACTCACTTATGTTGTTGCCTTTTAGTCACTGCTACTATAAAACAGGCCATGACTAAAGTGACCAGAAATGTCCTTTACTGTTTCTACCAAAGTTTCTACCAAAATGTGGCTTAGCAATATATATTTTATGCACTGTAACAATCTGGAAAACAGGACAATGTCCAGAAGTTTAAAATGATAATTATTTTAAAATTATAACAAGTCAGGAAAAGGGTTTTTTAACAAAAGATACATAACAGTATGTCTGTCATGACTGTTAACATCACCAGGGCATTTTGCCTTTGTTCTGCACTTTGTTGTGAGTTCTTCTTCTTTGCTCCAAAAATCTTAGTTCTCCTGCTTTGTCAAAGTAATTAAATTTAAGTTTTAAAATGTGATTTTACAAACCAACAAAGTTGTATTTCATGTACGAAAAAAAACAGGGTGTTTTCTCTTAAAGATGTCTCACCAATGTTCACATTCCTACTGAAATTTTTGAAGACCATTATTTAATATGCTACTGCTGCTGTTCAATTGTCATAACTTTGTTACAGTTTGATCTCATGTTATAAGCATGTACTTGTTTGAATAGATTTTTATTTAATTAAAATATTTTGATCTCTACTGTTGCTTTAACTACATAAGCTGTAACTGCATAATTGAGGAGGAAGAAAACATTAAAACAGGTAATTGTCTTGTAAAATAAAACATGTATACAGTTTGAAGTACATTTGAAAATTAGGTCTTTATTATAAAGATATACAATAGAATACTTTGATTGTACTGTGATTGATGCTTCTGTTCAGTTGAAATTACATGTCATAGTGTTTGCCCATTAGTCAAAGTGAACAATGAAATATGTCCATTAGATACCTAAATCATCTTCAAATTATGTGCTTTGTTTGACCTACAGCTCAAAACCACAAAATGTTCGGTTTACTATTACATAAGTGAGAAAATGAGCAAACAGAAAAACAGGAAAACGAAGGAATAGTATTTTTGCTAGAAATATGAGAAATTATTAATCAGTTATTAAAATTGGTGAATAACTTTCTGTTTAATTGGCTAATTGATTAATTAACTTGTTTCTTCGCCCCAAGTTTTCTTGTAAACTCATAGTTGAGCTTGATTTTGGTGAGGTTACACAGGTAAAAATTAACATTTGTGTTGCGTTGGTGATATTAAAGAAATCCTCCCGATATTAAAATACGCAAATAATGACAATGATAAGCAATTTGTGCCAGATTCATTTTTTTCCAAATATAAAAAGTCACTCTTAAAAATCTTAAAATTGTTATCTTACGTCATTTGCCTTATTTTAAAAATTCAGAATGTAAGAATATGCAAGATTTAATTTAAACTTTTATTTACCATTGTCTTTAATCTCAACCATTCCTGTTTTTTCTCGTGCAATGCGCGCTCCCTACACCGGAAGTTACAGTCAAGTCGTCGGTGTTCATGAGCACGGCAGGAGCGAGTGAACCGGCAAAGACCGGGGTAAGAAGAGGAGCCGGTGGACGGCGAAAAAACACCCAATCCACGGAATGAACATACCGATGTGTGCTTCTTCTCAAAGTTTAGCTATCACTCACTTCACGGTAATCACTTTTACTTTTGAGTCGTCGATTTAATGGCAGCGTGTGAATCGTTTTGATATACCTCATTAGCATTAGCTAGCTTGCTCAGGAAACTAGCCGAGAAGCGCTAACCAGTGTTGACGCCGTCTGCTCAAGTTAGCCAGGTGCTCTGAGAGCTAAGGTTAGCCAGCTAACACACAACCTTTCGTCAACAAACTTAAATACATTACTTCGTTTAATAAGCACACCAACACTATGCGGTTGTTCGGTACCAGTTGGTAAACATTAGCGTTAACCTCCAGAACAAATTCCCTAACAAAATGGTTGGCTAAGTTATCAAAGAATCAGTAGTTCGCTGACGTCGTTAGCGGTGATGTAAGCTAACGTGCTAACGGTTAGCTTACTGCTACGCTACGCCCATAGGCCCCACATTCTTTGACGAATAACGTCTGTTTTGTCTGGTCCTTTATTCCTCTGTGTAATTTAATGAACAATATTTGTGAGTTTCATTTTTTCTTTTTAAATGACCCTAATCGTTCACTCAGGAACCACCTTGAGGAAACTCAAATCAGGGTATTAAGCAACAAACGTTAGCCAAACATGTTTCTTTGGTTACGTGAATGTTGTTGCGTTGTTTTGGTCTTTATTCAGGTTCGCTTTTGCATCACTCAGCTGTTTACTGTATTTTATCTTTTACATTTCCTTATTCTCAGCATCCTCATAGCAAGAGCCTGACCTACAATTGTTGAAGAGCCCTGTATATTTCCGGAGACTGATCTGACTGCCTGCCCCATTGCCCGGAGAAGTACGAGCCTGTTATTTTAGTGACCCCTGTGTGTGAGAAGAGGAGTGTGTGACCATAGTGTGTAAGCAGCTCTCCCTATGTGTGTGACAATGGGGGACATCAGTGACCTGGACCGACAGATAGAGCAGCTCAGACGCTGTGAGCTCATTAAAGAAAACGAAGTCAAAGCACTGTGTGCCAAAGCAAGGTAATGGATCAAATACACCTATAACAGAGACACACAAAATCAGATGTTTGTGATGCCAAATATATATAGCAGAGTTTCATCAGGACTTTTGACTCATGTTAGATATATCCATTCATATAGGTAGCATACAGCTCACACCAAGCAAATTCAAGTAAATAAAAATACCTAAACTGTGTTTTAGTGACATAGTAGAAACTAATTGTTTACAATATCAATGTCACCATTATAGCATTGTTGTATAACTTAAAGTAAATATCAACTAGACTTCCTTTATGACCAGCTGCTAGTGTTTTGAATACATCAATAGAAAACCCAACACGCTTTAGTAGAACACGGAATCCTATTGTAATATCTGTGTGTGTGTTTTCAGAGAGATTCTGGTTGAAGAAAGTAATGTCCAGAGAGTGGACTCTCCCGTCACAGTAAGACATTTTTTTTTTGAGTTTGTATACTCAGATTTTAAAAGAAGTTATATATACGTATGTGTGTAATAATTATGTTTCTCTTAATTTTCCTCATAGGTGTGCGGGGATATACATGGTCAGTTCTATGACTTGAAAGAGCTATTTAGAGTAAGTTTCTGTTTGCTTTTACACACTGCTTAATATAGTCTACACCTTTTTTTCTTTAGAAGTTATATTCTTAAACTGGTTGTTCATGCTTGGATGCCTACCACAATTTTCCTAGTATTTTGTATCTTTATAATGGCGTTAATTGTAAGTTTTGCTAATGCTACATAACTAATGTTAGCATTAACAGCTTACGAGTCTTGCCAAAAACTTCAGCCATTGTTGTGTCTACAATGCAAATGGTTGGAATACGTCCTCTGAGCAGCTATTTCTTCCGGGTAAAATGGACCTTACAATGACTCTGATTTGGAAAGTGATGAGATTGGCCAGTGCTAGCTGTTTCCACCCTGGTCACAGCTGTTGGCAAGTGAAGGAGCACCGCTTAACTCCTTAACTTGTGCATGACGACTACCTCACTTAACTGCTGCTGCAGCTCCCACGCATATGTGTGTCCACACCGCCAGCATTGATGCTGTGCCTTGGATAATGACCATCAATAATAATGTTCATCATTATTGTTGATGAGCAGCCTGAAAAGTGAAGATTTGGAGCCAGAAAGCAGTAATGTGATTTTTTGTTTACCCTCATTTAGAGTGTGAGAGAGAGAGAGAGCCCTTCATCCATTTATTAAATAGTTAATAGTCATGTTGTATTATGAATATACAATTGAATTCCATTAAAGAAAAGTTCCAAAATGTTTTTGTAGTTGTCAACTAGATTTCTTAGAATGAAATATGGAATCAGCCGGTCAGACTTTTAATTGGAAATTTGCAAAAAGAAATTGCAATCTGTGCATCTCTAGTAGCAATAGCAAAATTTACTAATAGCTCCTTTTGAAAATGTTTTCCCTTATTTCACTGCAGCCATCAGGAGTACTCTTAAAAAAATTACCTATGCATATCCAGAAAGTCAGAGTTTAAAACACAATTTTAATGCAGACAGACTAACTGCAATTGGACATATATCTTTTATAGCTCCAGTTAATGTTAATAGCCTATTCAATACTTCAGTAGTAGTAATCCTGTGTGCTGGACACTGGATTTCTGCCGTGTCCAAATCGTACTGAACTAAAAGGAGAG